GCCTGACGTACTCTACAGATAGTTTTGGGACACCCAGTGAAGAACTTCGTATTTTAGGAATGTCTATCAGCAGACATTTGTTAAATTTCTAGAACTGCCTGATGCTATGCTTAACATGTTCTTGCTCAGCCTCAATGATTTCCTTTTCTTAAATCAGCGACACTTCTCAGCCCTCACTTGATACTTCAGCTCCTCCCAAAATTTGACTTGTCCCTTGGCATTACGATAGTTCATTCTCAGGGTTTTCCTTCTACTTCTCCTTCTGCTGCTGCTCCCTGGTTCCCATCGTCTCTTCCACCGCTCACCCTTTATAGGTCGAATCCCCAGGATTCTGACTTTAGCCTCTTACTTACGCTGCTCACTGTCCCCACGCTTCCTAAGCCATTTTTCACTATCCATCATGTATGTAAAATTGGCTCTCCAAGCTGCACATCCAGCCAACATCTGTCTTCTGATTCTGGATCCATCCATGGGGCTGTCAGTAGAAGTCTCAGGAGGACTATTTTTCAGGCACCCACATGTAAGAGTCTCCAGAATATAAGCTATTTCTCCTGGCTCATCTTCCTCCTTATCCTCTGTCCAATCTCAGCGATGGTGTAGTCATGCAAACAAAAAATCCAGGTGTTTTTCAAAACTTCTACCTGTGTCTTATTCTCTGTGTTTAACCTCTGTATGTGTTTTCTCGTAACTATTAAGGAGAAATTTAGATTAATATATGTAAAATGCCCATATTTATACCTATCCCTGCCGACGTTTAATGGTATAATTTAGAAGAGTACATACTTCAACGCATGGCTCTATTTACAAACTGTGTCCCATGGCGTATAAGTTCCTTGACATGTTAAAAGGTGTTATACAAAAAAGTCAGAAATCTATGGCCAATTAAATTTGGGGAATAGTGCATCCTACCCTTCCCATCTTCACGGTTCACAATAGCCATGCAACACTAAGAAACCTTGAGCGCGCGCACACACACACACACAACCGTGATTGTTTGACCAGGTATTTGCAATAGACACACCCTCCCTTGTTTTGTGAAAAGTCTTTAAAAAAACAACTTGATTCCTGTGCATAGTTTGGAACATGCTTGTGCAGGATATGAGGTAAGGAATGAATTTATTTCTCTTCCAGCAGTTAATTTTCCTATCAACACCTTATATCTGTTAACATGTGTTGGACAATCTCCCTTCCCTGCTGGTTTTGCGGCTTCTTTCATCTAGATTGTGCCCTTTGTGGAGGCAACACAGAAAGAACCCCTGCTCAGTCCTGCACTGTCCTACCTGCGTCGCTGTGTTGGAGCCTGTCCTTGCACCTTGTTGACGGTCTTCTTTTTTTGCCAGCCACCTACTTTACCAAGTCCTTCTCTAGGAACCGGTCCCTTCTGATAACGTGCGCCAAGTATATGGATCTAAGTCTCGCCATCCCCGCGTCTAGGAAACGTTTGTGCTACACGTCTTCCAAGATGGATTGTTGTTCTGACAAGCCCTGGGAGATCCAATTCAGGATTTATCACCAACGCTTGGGCATCTTTGCTCACCAGCCGTTTCAAAGGTCTTTTGTCACAGATTTGCCCAAAGAGAATGTGCTGTGTTTTCCTGATTTCTGACTCCATGGGCATTGATTATGGAGTAATGATATCCATGAGAACTTCAATCTTTTCTTTGTTTATCATGACCTGGTTTATTGGTTCAGTTGTAAGGATCTTTATTTTCTTTTCACTGGGAGGTAATCCATACTGAAGGCTCTAGTTTTTGATCTTTAATAATACGTGCTTCAAGTTCTTTGTTTTCAGCAAGCAAGGTTATGTCATCTGTACATCACAGTCTGTTCATGAGTTTTCCTGAAATCCTGATGCTATATTGTCTTCGCATAGCCCAGCTTCTCAGATTACTGCTTAGAATGCAGAGTGAGTAAGCATGGGTATGGATACAACCCAGACACAAACCTTTCCTGATTTGAAAGCACACTGTATCCCCTTGTGTGAAAGACTGCCTCTTGGTCTGTGTACAGTGTCAGCGTGGGCACAAGTTAGTGTTCTAGAATTCTCATTCTTTACAGTGTTGTCCACAATTTGTTAGAATCTGCACCATCAAAACTGTGTGCAGTTTTGCATAACCAGTACGACGGAGGGGTTCTCTCCTCGAAGCCAAGATTCAGCTGACATCAGCAATGATCGACCTCATTCCACATCCACTTTGGAATCTACCTTAAATTTCTGGAAGTTCCTTATCCAAGTGCTGCTGCAACTGGTTTTGAATCATCTTCAGCATAATTTTCTGTGAGGCATATATTCAGGATATTGTTTTATAATTTCCACACCCTGTCCACTTGTTTTTTGAGATGGAAACTTATATGGATCTCTTCCAGTCAGATGGCCAATTTTTTTCTCTAATTTTATTAGCATATAATTCACATATCATACATACCACTTTTTTGTCATAGACTAGTGAGCACCTGACGCATCTCAATTGGTGTTCTGTTATTTCCCGAAGTCTTGTGTTTTGTTAATGCCTGCAGCTTGGCTTGGTCCCCTTTCTTGAAAACCATTCCTCTTTGATCATGTGCTACCTCCTGAAATGGATGGCCGTGGAACACTTCTTTTTGGTACAGTGACTCCGTATATTCCTCCCCTCTGTTTTGATGCTTACTGCGCTGTTCAGTATTTTGCCCATAGAGTCGGTATTACCAATCAGGACTTGGGAGTTTCCCTTCCGTTTTTTCATCTTGAGACATCTTGAGCGTGTTCTTCCTTTCCGAGTACCTATCTCCAATCCTTGTGCCTTTCATGATCATATTTCACTGTGTCTCCTCAAGTCACCTTTCGAAGTCTGGTCAGCTTGTTTCCCTCGTCATCTCTTCTTGAGATCGCTTCTGAATTCAGTTGGGATAGACTTTGGCTCTAGTGGATCTAGCTTCGTCTCTCCCCGCTTCCATTTGAATGTGCATATTCTGCAGTGCACTCTGCAGTCAAGCCTGGGCTTTGTTCTGCCTGGGGACAATTGACCTTTTTCATCATCTTTTTTACAGTGTGGTTGACTTGATTCTAGGGTATTCCATCTGGTGAACTCCATGTGTACAGTCAACATGTTTGCTGTTCAACAACCATATTTTCCATCAGTAAGTTTTTGGTTTTGCAGCTGTTTCTTCTCATTTTGAATCATGTCATATCATCAGATGAAAGTCCCCCAAACCATACTCCATTCACACCAGTAAGGTTGACTCTACTGCAGTTTGCCTTCCACCCTGCGAGACTCATCTTCTAGCCCTGTCAAGATTTTCACAGGCCAGTGGTGTTTTAGAAGTACATCACCAGGTACTCCTTCCTAAATTTGCTTTATCCGGAAGAGTCTGACATCTGTGACCCTCCCGCCAACTGAAATGCTAGTGGCATAACTTCTGGCATTACAGAAATGCACAGCTACTACAATATAAGACTCTGATAGAGAAGTAGCATATTAAATTCATAATTATGCAGGCACCTGTTTTAGAGCTGATTGTTGAATCTGATGCTCCCCTCTCCCTTATCCTCTAATTTGTAAAGCAGTATGCGTTAGCATTTTGAACGATGCTGATTAAACCAATTTTAATAGTTAATGCTATTCCTGAGGACACCAGAGTGTTTGTGAAATGTGAATTTTCTGGGACAGAAGCTGAGACCAAGTGAGCCTCGTGTCCTGTGCTTCTGTTGAGGAGATGCTTGCGAAGTGCGGGACGTCAGATGTGAAGGGTTGCTTAATGCTTTTCAGTAACTGGGCACGTCATGAACTTAAATGATTAAGTGTTGCATGCCCCCCCCATCCCTCTTTTGTAATTCATCAAGTGATGATATTTCGCACATAGCTGCTAGTCGAGATTTAATTCTGCGTCAGAGGTGCACGTGGAACCTTGCCCACATTCACTTTCATTCATGAGGTAATTTGATAAAATTATACTGGAACTACTTTAAAAAGTTTAGAATGAATCTCATTTCGTCTTGTATTGCATTATTTAATGGATCCAACTCTGCAGGCCTGGCATTGTCAGGTAAGTTTCCATAAATGTGATTGTATGGCTAGGATTTTATTTTTTGCTCAAAAGTGTGAGATAGCCCTCATGTCCGACACCATGTTTTAGAGAATTAGATGATGCTGTGGTTTTCACTCAGCTCTGGGGTTTTCTTGAGGAAGGAAAACAGTTAGGAAACAAGCAAAACTACTTGTACATGTAGAAGAAAGCCTGGAAAACTCTTCAGCTGTCGGTGGTTATAGATGGGTGGAGGCATCCTGGTGGCTTACTGGCTTACAAGTTGGGCTGCTAACTGCAAGGTCAGCAGTTCAACTTCACCAGCTGCTCCTAAGGAGACAGAGGAAGCTTCCGACTCCCATAAAGAGCTGTAGTAATAGAAACCCAAAGGGGCAGCTCTACTCTGCCCTACAGTACTGCTGTGAGTCAGGACTGACTCAATGGCAGTGGGCTGGGTTTTTGGGTAGAGAACAGGTGATGGGTCTTGCTACATGTCCGCTGTGTTCCACATCCACAGCTCCTCCTGTGCTGGGTCCCGGAGGCTAACCACTACGAACTACCTCCATCGCCAGCTCCCTTGCCTTTTGGTTTCTATTTGGTTTCAGCTAATTGAGAGCCTCAGAAGATTGATGAGAAGGATGGATGAGGGTATCTTTTCTTCTGTCCTCTGGTAGACTTGTCTTGGGTCTGCTGACTCCTTCAACTGAAGGCCACGGGTCTTTTCAAAGAAGGCCTTTCCATATGATGCTCTCTTCCAGGTTTGAGCTACTAATACCACCCCTTGCTGTTGGAAGCACATGCGGTGATAAAAATCCTCCTTTTCTAATCATAGCTATTTTACTATCGTCTGTTAGTCCCCTTGATTTCACCTTTCCCAAAGATACCCCTGTAATCCATGGTCAACGTTAGGATCTAGTTACTTGCTTAAAGAATGTTGGTTGCCTGTCAGTTATCACTTGGACAAGTGAGTGTACACTTACATCTTGCTTTTCTCTTAGATCCCAGAGTTGAAGACTGGCTCCTCATGGCGTCGCCTCTTCCACAAACCATCATCCTTGGACTCTATGTCTATTTTGTCACTTCTCTGGGACCAAAGCTCATGGAGAACCGAAAGCCCTTTGAACTCAAGAGAGCGATGATAACGTACAATTTTTTCATAGTACTTTTTTCTGTGTATTTGTGTTATGAGGCAAGTGTTTTCAGTCTTCCAAATGGAAAATGTGGTCTGAGTCATTGTGCACAAATGTCATTATCTATCCATAAGTATAACAGCAACTCTTTGAGATTTAAGAGAATTTAGAAACTGAGCTCACGAGAGCAGATATTTCTCTAACATTTTTCATGTTTAGGTCAGATAACGAATCCTCCAGAGAGTGTTAGCACAGTCTCCCTCTCAGTTGGTGAGAAACATCAACATGTCCTCAGGGAACTGATTTGTAGTAAACCTTCACAAGGGATTTGGTGAATCCACAAATAGTAGTTTTAGGAACCTGGAGAAATTAAGTAACTTACTCAAATTACCATAGCTGATAACTAGAAATCTGATATTTTAATCAAGATCTGTCTAAATCAGAGGTTAGTCTGATTCTCTAGCAAGCTGTCATCAGCATGGTAGGCATTTCTGGCTTCTGCATATTCAAATGGGTACAGTGGAGTGAACAGAGAACTGAGACTCATGGAGGTGGTTGGTGAAGGGACCGGTCTTTTGACTGTATTTAAGAGAATGCAGATTCAAAAGCTCCCTTATGGATCCTCTTTCTCCTCAGCTTTTAATGTGCCTCAACCACTTCCATGCATTAGCTTCTCTAGAATTCTATGCGTCCTGTCCAATGCACTAGTTGGCTCCCTCATCATCTATTCCTTCCTTCCTCTGCTTCACAACTTGCTCTTACTCACAAATGGGACTCACTCAAGGCCCAGCTTGACCTCTCTGGCCTCTCATGATGTCACACCCCTCCACCTGCATCTTTTCAATCTTGTCAGTCCTGCTGCTAATCCACATGACTGGGCCACCTTTCATCTGCATTAGCCTTATTTATCATAGGCCCACTGCAGGTTGGATTGACTTTGCTGCCTTCCATTTCTTCTACTTTATTTTCAAAATTAGCCCAGGGGCCGCTCTTACTATTTCTTCCGGAGTCTGAGCAACTGAAAGAGAAAGAGCCACAGGGATGGAGAGGACAGAAAACACATGCTTTTCATATGTCATCAGAGATAGGACGTCCTATACCAATACAGTGTGTAGAGCCACCCAGAAAACTAGGAACCGAGGCGTGATTAGCTCTGGTTCTACATGTAATTAGCCGTCTGTGTGTGAGTAAGCACTTACCGCTCTGGGTACTTAGAGCCAGGATTGAATCAACTTGCCTCTGAGGTCCCGCAGGTTCAGATATTTGTAGGCTCTGTGCCTGAATCCAGTTCTCAAGCTTGCTGTTGTTGTTGTTGTTGTTAGGTGCCATTAAGTCTGTTCCAACTCATAACCCACCTGTGCACAACAGAACCAAACACTGCCCGGTCCATGCCGTCTTCGCAGTTGTTCCTGTGCTTGAGCCCTTTGTTGCAGCCACTGTGTCACCCCATCTCATTAAGGACCTGCCTCTTTCTCGCTGCCCCTCCACCTTTACCAAGCATGATGTCTTTCTTGAGGGACTGGCCTTTCCTGACAACATGTCTAAAGTATGTAAGACAAAGTCTTACCATCCTAGCCTCTACAAAGAAGTAATCGTCTGCCCACTTCAGAGGAAGTCACCACTGAAAACCGTATGCATGGCATCTAAACATTCTCAAGATTGGAAGGAACCAATTCTACCCATTGCGTTTTGGTGCATGCCTTTGCAACTACAAATAAAAGAAGGTTTCAGATACTTGACACTGAGTCAGGGTTCATTTCCCATTAGCCACTAACATCTCAATTGTTTATATGGTAGCTTCAGACTTGATTACTTGCCAAGTATAAACTACTTCTCTTTTTTATTACTAGGTGTATATATGTGTGCATTTATGTACACAGACATGTATAGAAACATGAAGGGACATCAGAAAGTTTGTGGGAAAATTCACTTTTGAAGTCCCCTCATATATGTCTGTGTGTATTGCTTAATAGACTATTGGAATGTTCTTAAACAAAATATTATATAAAGAGAGTTTTGGAACCAAGCAGTGTGCCATCTTCAGGCACATGTAAACATTCGGTATATTGTGTGGAGGTGTATACAGAGGTGACCTCAAGTCGTACACAAAGCTAACCTCAAGGTCAGCTGTTATAACGGACCAGCAGCTCCACAGGACAAACATGAGGCTTTCTGCTCCAGTGAAGATTCACAGCCTTAGAAACCCAAAGGACCAGTTCTAGTCTGTCCTATAAGATCACCACGAGTCTGGAATTGACTTGATGGCAGTGGGTTTGCGTTTTTGTCTTAGCCTGCATTCTCTAGAGAAGTAAAACTAATGAGGCTTACTGATGTGTGTATGAGGCTCACACAGCTGTAGAGGAAGTTAGGTTCCAAAATCCATATGTTGGATATCAGACTGGAGGTTTCTCCTGACTTATTAGCTTCAGGGATTAATGAATCCAAGATCGGGTGAATGAATCCAAGGCTGGAAGGTACAGTGGCCGGCTGCTGGCAACTAGGATCAGCAGGTCACTGCTCAAGTTCAAAGATCTGGAGGTCAGATGATGAACCATATGTAGGATTCAGACCCAGCAAAAAGCAAGCATGTTTTTTCAGTGTTCACTTATTTGGGAAGCAGGCCACACCCCCAAGGAGGTCTCTTCAGAAGAGAATTACAAACCACGGAGAATCATGGTCCAGCCAAGTTGATACAAATCCCTAACTACCACATTGCCCTAAGAATGTTGTTAAGTCCTATCAAGTTGGTTCCAACTCATAGCGACCCTATGTACAACAACATAAGGACACTGCCCAGTCCTGCACCATCCTCACAAGTGTCCTTATGTTTGAGCTCATTGTTGCAGCCACTATATCAATCGTCTTGCCGAGGGCCTTCCTTTTTTTGGGTGCCCCTCTGCTTTACCACGCATGATGTTCTTCTCTCAGGACTAGTCTCTTCTGACAACATGCTCAAAGTGAGATGAAGTCTTGTCATCCTTACCTGTAAGGAGCATTCTGGCTGTATTTCTTTCAAGACAGATTTGTAGATTTTTTCATCTGTTTTTCTTATTTTAAGTCATGCCACATCAGCAAATGAAGGCCCTGATAGCTTTCCTCCCACAAACTTTACTCCATGCACATTATTAGGGTTCACTCTACGTTGAGAAGGCAGTTTTGCCATAGTCAGATTTTAGTACCTTCTGACCTGAGAGGCTCATCGCCAGCACTAGCTCTGCCAGTATTCTGCCCTCAGTATCCGACAATGTCTTGATGCTGTGTGACAGGTTTTCATTGACTAATTCCTCCGAAGTGGACAGCCTGGTCTTAGTCTGAAAGCTCTGTTGAAACCTGTTCACTTTGAGTGCCCTGCTGGTAGTTGGACTACCAGTGACATAGCTTCCAGCAACACACAAGCCATCACAAGAGTGACAAACTGGCAGGCAAGTGGTCCTAGGAATGCCAGGCCAAAAACGAACAAGGTGGAAGACAAATGCTTCAAACTACAGAGATGCACGTGCCTTAATTTTACGATGACAGTTTCAACATGTGGCTGAAAAGCGAAAGCCATTTAGATCCCCACCAAAGGTAGTGACCCGCCTTCTCACCTTTAGCTCTGTGCTTGTTTGTGGCAGGACATGGTACAAATCTCCCCTCTCCTGCCTACACAGCACAATTGTGGATACTAGCTCCAGGATTTAGAGTTACTTGCATCAGTCAGAAGTGAGGCTGAGCACAGGAGACGATGAGAACACTGGCCAAGGGAACAGGTTATGGGGAACAGAATTAGCTGTTGTAGTGGTGAATGCCCTTGCTCCCTGCAGCAAATGTGTGGGCTTGTTTTGTAAAATGTCTTTCCGATTCATGAAATATATTTAGAGTGCTTTCCTTAGTTTTCAAGATTTCATAGTTTAGGAAATGAACTGTATGATTACTGAATCAAGCCAAGAGCTAGTATCAGAAAAAGACCATGTATTTCTAAAGAACACAGTCAAGTTCTTCTCGTTTCTTTCTCTCTTTTTCCCTAGTAAAAGAATCATGCTGATAATGCCGCATAGCGCTTTGCCTTCAGAAACTCATTGACAGTCAACCTGAAAGTTTAGCTTTAGTGTTATTAAAACTGATCACTTGAAGTTTGCTTCAGTGGCTGAAATAATATAGCCGTTCCGCCCAGAAGGAAGGCTTTGTGGGGATAAATGCTGGCCCTTGACAGACCGGCATCAGACGAGAGGAGAGCTGATCATCTTGCTAGCACTCTGCATGCAGCAACTCATTTCATAGCGGTAGTAACTTTAAAACAGAGTCCTTCGCTTTCCATTTTCAGATACTGTTTTAGATGAAGGTCCTCCCACCATCGGGCTGAAGGAATATCAGTATCATCTTTGAGTTTGAGTTCAGCCTGGTCAACAGTAAGCTTGTTCTTCTCACTAGTAAGTCTAAGGTCACTCTGAGGGTGCACTGGAATTAAAGTCCGTCCAGAGGGCACGCTCCCAACTGCCTTGCTAAGAACAGCTTTTTCCTGCCCTGACTTGGGTCCAAAGCAAAGCCAGTAGCTGAGTCTTGTGTTGGGTCACTCTTGATTTTGAGGGAGGAAACAAGAAGAATGCAGCCGGGGGCCACCACTTCACATTCCACCCAGTAGCTGAGGTCTGGGAAGCCGGTTTGTTGCAACCACATTATGAGTACATTGAGGAATTTGGGTTTGCTCATTTACTTTTTGAGTAATGTGAAAGACTGAGAAATCACCAGAAAGTAACACACACACACACACACACACACAATCACTTACCTAATATTTGCTGTCTAAGCAAAACACTCCTAGTGTTCTATTGTCTATTGGGTTAAAATCAGCATCCCACAAAATGAGCGGTTTAGTGGGAACACGGTTCATATGAATAATCTAGGAGTTTGAGGTTCTGAAAATTCTGGACCTGGGATTTCAAGATGCAGTTGGAGTTTGCAATTGTTTTAGCAAGTCTTTGCCTCTGCAGTGCTTGCTGCCTTGGGGCTCAAACCTCAGGGCTAGACACCATCCAAACCACCTTGGTTGTCGCTGTTGAGCAACCGCTTCCTCCTTTAATATGCATGCGCTCTCTTGCAGTTTGTGATGTCTGGCTGGGGCACAGGTTACTCATTTCGATGTGAAATCGTTGACTATTCACAGTCACCCACAGCTTTGAGGGTAAGTTTCTCCCTGGAAAATCACATCCTTCAAAAATCCATTTGTACAACTTTGGAATTGTACTCCCACTCCTGGATGGGAGTGAAGAATGAGTTCATGACTCAGTAATCAGGCCTTATATATTGAACAGTAAAATTAAATATGAGAACCAAAAGGAGTTAGGTGGGGAGTTTTGTATGCATTTTAAATTTCTTGGTCTTAAAAATAAACTCATATTTGTGCTTCTGCAGATGGTGCGCACCTGCTGGCTTTATTACTTCTCCAAATTTATCGAGTTGTTCGATACTGTGAGTACGGCACCACCGCATTTGGGTAATGTTCGATGGCTCAGTGAAAACAATAAGCTTCTGTGGTTCGCTTGTCTGATAACTTTGAATACCTCTTCTTAGGCGGACTCATTATTATCTTTGACCTTGTATTGTCATAATTTTAGAAAATAGATAGGATGTGCTTATTTTTCTAGTGTTTCCCAAACTCAAAAAAAATCTTCTACATCTGACACATGATTAAAATAATCCTGCAACTTTGACCCATGCAGCAACACTGTGCATCTTTATGTCGCTGAATGACAGTCATTCAGTAGAGCAAGTTCAGTGTGCACAGAACAGAGAACCTCTGACCTTTGGTTCTTTGTTCCTAGCACTGTATTTTACCCAAGGGAGAAAGACAAGGCGTTCTACTCATATAAGGAGTTACGCTCTCGGAAACCCACAGGGGCAGTTCTATCCTGCCCTTTGGGGTTGGCCTCGACATGATCAATGACAGTGACTGAGTTTTGTATTCATACTCTTAATTGTAATGAATGCATCAAAGTACCCTAGGATGCTATGTTAAACCTGGGGCATAAGTAATGTTGCTTGCACCCAAATGACCCCCAGTTGCCTTTCCAAATTCTGTGCTCTCTCTTCTGCTTAAATTACGATCCTGTTGAGGATCCGCTCTGAATTGGGGTGACTGGGCCCTGGCAGAAGTAAGCCCCGTGGATGAGGGTTTGCTGTAGGGGGAGGAAGCTCTGCACCTATGTCTCCTGAGGAGTTTGGGAAAGCCGGAGCCTTATTGTATCTCTGACCCGAGGCTCTAGAACCAGTTCTGATCTGAGCTTCTTCAGAACATGTACACCAAATTTCTTGTAGCATATCTTGACACCCTTCACTTTGTTGGCTGACTCATCATGTGATGTTAGCACTGATAGGGACTTTAGTGAGCATCAGGTTTGGTGGTTCTCAAATTGTCACCTGGATCAGAATGGCCTGGAGGGCTTGGCATGACAGAGTCTTGAATCCTCATCCCCAGAGTTTCTGATTCACAGTGTGTTGGGTGGGGCTCAGACTATACATTCCTAACCAGTTCCCAGGCCGTGCTGATTTGGCTGGTCCAGGACCTACTACTCTTTGAGAGTCCTTGCTACAAAATAGTGGTCCTCAGCCCTCATGGTGTAATAGAATTAATTGCATTCGGGTGAACAAAAACACAAAAATGGGGCCCCACCCCCAGAGATGTGGTGCCAGATGGTCTGGTATAGAGGACAGACATGGGCATTTGTTAAACAGGTTTCTTGGGGATTGTAATATCCACATATGAGGAACCACTGGTCTCGTCTAGAACCCCACCTTTGGGAAAAAAAACAAAGCAAAACAAAACCAGAAGCCTAGAAAAGGATTTACCCTAGAGAAATGCCGCTACCTACCGGGGTTGCTAATTTATGGCTTTTTGTGTCGCACCCTGCTGCCTCCTTCCATGTGCATAAGTGAATGCATTTTGGCTTCACTGTATTTGTTTGGCATGCTCTCAACTCCGGTTTCCATGCAGGAAATGTTACTGCCTCCCTTTTGCTGAGTGACATTTCCCAACCACTGCTTCAGTACACTTCTTTGCGCTACTCTGGCTTCTCTCACATTTAAAGTCAATTGAATCGCTGGATTTCTGAATGGTGGTTTTGAATTAAAGCAAAACAACAACAACAAAAACCAACTTTTTTCTCCAAAAAGCTTTCTAGATTCTCTTCTTTACTTTAGCTTTCTTCTCTGTTCTGTCTTTAAAATTGATTCCTCAAATTATCCTCCCTACACCTTTCCTTAATAATTTGCTAACTTCTGATTTCTTGTTCGTCCTCTTTCAGTTGCTTACTCCCTTGTCCAGTTGGAAGGATGCATTAAGAGAGCAATGTAGAATAATTTTAGTTCTCAGAGTTAAGATTCTTCTATTTTCTCTTAGACTCCAAAATCCACTTGGAGATACATACATATATATATATATATGTGTGTGTGTGTGTATAGCAATAGCATTTATTAAATTGAGGCTCTATCCTTCATGTTCTAGCCATGATTTTCAAATCAGCAAAAAATTTTCTTTCACCTTAATGGGTCCCCTGTGATTAGTTGTCACACTTGAGTTCCTCCATGCGAAGTAATTCTTGAATCTTGAACTGTCCTTCGGAAGGGCTGCTGTTTCTGAGAACATTCCATCAAGTAGCCCTTTCGAGGCAAATTATAATGTGAAATAGTTTGCCCCTTACCAGTATCTTTGCAGTGCTAGATAAATTATTGCCTGATTGTATATGAACTTGATTTTCTTTAAATTATTTCAGATCTTTTTTGTTCTGCGTAAGAAAAATAGCCAAGTTACTTTCCTGCATGTCTTCCATCACACCATCATGCCATGGACCTGGTGGTTTGGAGTCAAATTTGCTGCAGGTAGTCAAGGGACAACTGGGATCATGTGTTACAATCATGTTGCCGTATGCTATCAGTGGTGTCCCGGGTGGTGCAAGTGGTTTGAATCCTCAACTACTAACTTGAATGTTGGCAGTTGAGCCCCTCCAAACGGGTGTCAGAAGCCAGCCTTGGCAATCTGCCCCTGAAGGTCACAGCCGTGAAAACCCTACAGGGCAGTTCTACTCTGCTCACAGGGGAGCAGAGTAGTTGGAATTGTTAGTTGGAATTGACTTGATGGCAACTCACAAAAATGGCACTATAAATCAAAATTATATCCTCAGATGTGATTTAATGGAAGCTTATCTTCAGCAACGGCGGACGCCGGGGTGAGGAAGAAGAAATGGGATGCGTGGCTAATTGCCAGCTTGAGCTCCTTTGCCTTGAGATCAAAATTGGATGGAGCCTGGCTATCATTGTCGAATGTTTTGATCAAAGATTCTATAGAATCTGTAGAAGATCCTGATCAAAAGGCAGGGGGAATGTGGGACAGAATTTCAAATTCTCTTGGAATCTAGATCTCTGGAGCCATTGAGGCTAGATAAAACCTAGAAACTATGGTGTTCCTTTAAAACAAGAAGTTGGACTTAATTAGTACAAAAGAGATCTGCCTGCATATTATACTCTATTAAAGAACTATCCATAGCAGATGAAACTGACAACAGCACTCGGTTGATTAGATAGAAAGCTGAAGAGCAGAGAGCTCCGGAGGAGCGATTAGGAAAAGGAAGATGAGAATATTTGCCCACCTCAAAAAAGCTAATCAAGCCCACTCATTGTGCAGGTATATATTGAATTGATTTATGTTTTGGTGTATATTTTCAATAATAATTAAAAAACAAACAAAAGAAGATTTTCCAGGAAAACTCTACACAACGTTCTTTGTGATTGAAGGGTTTCTAACAGTGGCATGTGGTGGGGCTCTGTGAAAGTCACATCCATTAGAATTCATTTGAACTGTGGTGAAATCATATGCAGATATTTATGAGTACATTTTCTAATTGGTCTATCAATTTTTAACTCAAATAAAGTTAAAAATAATAATAAGAAACTAAAAACAAAGTCAGAGGTCTTCTTTGGTCACTCTTGACAAATTATTATTACTTGCAACTTAAATGTGGGACTGCTCGCTAGGTTTCTCCCCAATTCTTCAGATACATGTGCTTTGGGAGCATTGTTTTCTATACATAGTCTTCATTTGTGTTGTTTAGAATTTATTATTTTCTCATGAAGTTCTTTCAGATATCTTTAATTTACAAAAGATAAATGAACAAATTAATAATAAATAAATGAAAGAGTAAATGCCTCGACTTATAAGAGCATGCTTAGATCCCTGATATGTTTCTAGAAGTTAGAATATTAATCTTTTAAGGTTTATGCCTTTTTTTGCCTTCAAGTTTCCATCAATGGACACTTTCATTTACCCCTAATAACTCTTTAAAGATGTGTCAAATTGCAGTTGTTCCTACTCCTCTAAATATCCTGCCATAGTAAAAGATATGTTGACGTTATTTTTTAGGCCAACATTTAGTTTATATCAGAAGCTTGGACAATAGACAGTTTTTGTTTAGTTTTTGGTGTTGTGCTTCTTAGTATATAATATTGAAAAAGCAGGAAGTTTAGATAATTTTATCCTAACCAGGAAGAGCAGCCTGCCATTGGGAAAAATCCTTATCAATACTTATATAGAACCTCATTTGGAAAATATACCCATGCCTTATCGGGACTATTCATCGTATTTCACAATACACATGCCTTTAAAGTGGACCAGGGAAATATATAAACTATGGATATATGAATGTATTTTGAGCTCGCACTTAATATTAAACTTTCATCTAAGAACAGTTGGTTCTTAGATACTTGATACTTATTTTTATGAAGAAATCACTGAAGATGTGGGTGCTGTAGCAAAGTATGATGAAGAAATCAGATGGTGCCCAGATAATAGAAAAAATAGCCTCCAGGGTCATAAAGTCTTGTCATAAAACCTGCAGAAGCACACCAGCCTGTGTGATCCAAGGATTATAAATAATAGAATCCAAGACTGGAGGAGGTGATTCTATTAGAGTTTATATTCTGGGTACCCAGTCGCTGAGGGATTACAGTGACTGCCCCAAACCCATTTTCAGCGCCCTTACATGGATTAAGCCTCTGGTGAATCCCCTCAAACCATTGACAAGGGATGGGAATAGCCTTGCTATCAGACAAAGTGCATTGGAAAGTGGATTAATGCAGAGATAGTCTGGTTACAATGTAACACCTTATCATTTATTCTCCCTTTTGACCCATTACAATTTTTCTCTGGTTTTTATTATTATTTTTTGCTTTCTTTGGGAAGGAGGGTTTTTGTTTTGCTTTGTTGTTTTTAAAAATCATTTTATTGGGGGTTCGCGCAATGCTTATCACAATCCATACATACATCCATTGTATCAAGCACATTTGCACATGAGTTTTTGTTTTGCTTTGTTGTTAGGAGTTTTTTGTACATTTGTCTTTGGTATGACTTTATATGAAATCTAAGGCAAATCTATGTAGACAGTAACTAGACTAATAGTTTCTTAGGGTTAATGGCACGGGCCATTGGGGGAAATGAAGAGCTAGTAATGAGTACTAGAATGGAGAAAATATTCTAACATTGATTGAGATGATGTTTGCATAACTCCTTTAAAAAGATTTAAATCAATGAATTTTATGGTATGTGAATTATGCCAGTAAAACAAAATTTTTAAAGATTTCAATGAGGGGTAAAAAGAAGTAAAAAATAATTTTGTCCTTTCATAAAGTTTTAAAATATATGATCTCACCAAGGACATATTCTTAACTTAGTAAAAATTCGGTAGGCGCTTTACATATGCTAGCTTCTTAAACTTAAGAGGTCATCACGTAACATAGGCTTGTAGGCCATAGTAGACAATTTGCTCAGCATGATACTGTAGCCAAGCATTGGTCTACTAACAGCCAAGTTGGTGGTTCAAACCTACCAGCTGCTCTGAGAGAGGAAGGGGAGGCTATCTGCTCCTGTAAACATTTACAGCCTGAAAACCTGATAGAGGGTCGCTATGAGTTGGAATCTATTTAATGGCAGTGAGTTTAGCTTTGTTTTTGGTCAGGGGTATTAAGCATTCTAAGTCTTTTAGATGAAAAGAAAAGAAACCACATTTGAAGAATTCTTGAGTGTTTGACTCTCCTGGATGGGGAGCTACCGTCTCAGGGGCTGAGAGGACCTGGATATGTGTGTGGCAGGATGGAGAAGACAATGACAGAGGAGCCACAAGTTTATGAAAGTGGGCAAACAGCCTCCCTACCATGGCCAATGGGTGTTGGATTTTTCAATATGTAAAGTATCTTCTTGTCCACAATTAGTGGTTGTCTATTGAGGATTTTTTCAGAATAAATGTAGCTTCTCTTAAAATGTATGGTGATAAAAAAAGTAAACTTATAACAAAGTTGGCTAATCTGTTCACAAAATCGGAGAGCTTTCTTATATGTTGTTTTACGTATCCCAGCTTTCTGCGTTTCTGTGTTCACTCACATTCCCTCTGTCTTTCAGCTCTTTCTACAGAGACTGCGTTATCTACCTTCTTTGTGTTGGAGAAAAACTGGATAATACTGAAGCATCCACTAATAGAATAGTTATGATTTTGTGTGTGTGTATATGAAATTGTGAAGTGTCCTTGGTATTGAGAAGTATTTGGCATATCTTCTCTGTTCTCCATCTTTGCAGCTCGACTATTAAATTATCAGAAATAGACGACTATTCTATTTTTAAAGTACTCTAGAAGAGGTGCCTTCACACCCTTATAAATTATTTATTCAGGTTTCTCCCATGAGACCAGACTATTATATCACAGCACCACAAAATAAATAGAAATAGAAAAAAGATCAGAAGACGTATCCCAAAAATACAAGCAGGGGTGATATGGGGTTATTTATAAAATGATTTTCTTCCTTCTCTTCTTGGTTGTGCATAATTTTCTTTCTTTTCTACAATGAGCGATTTTAAAAGAGCTTCAAAGTTTGTGGGAAAATACTATGATAGCTTTTTCAAGTTTTCATTAGGAGCTGGGTGCAGGTTTCCAGAGCAGATCATTAGTTTTACACCCAGCAGTTCTTATCCATTTTGTTTCAACTCATCTATTGCAATCCCCTCCATACAAGTACCATAAATGAAATAAGAACCCTAACTTATCCCATTTCTTCCTCGTGTTTCCTATTTCCACTCCTCCTTTCCTAATCTTTTAAGTTCCATTTTTTCTACGAACTTTTTGATGCCTCCCCCGCCCATATTCGTCCTCATCTTGGGCAAGTAAATCATACTTAAAGAATCAAAAGCTGAGCTTTCCCCTCCTCCAATGTCTGTCTTTGAGCCCGTTAGTTGCCTAGGTTCCATTTCAACAGCAAGCAATGGCTTCTGGTCATGGAAATTTAAACCATGACTCCATTTTGAAATGTTGCGTGTTTATGAACACGAACCACGTTATTATGGCTCCTTGTCCACAGCTTAATCCCCCTCCTGCTTCCCACACGTATATAGTAGAAAATAGTGCTTTCTTCTTTCTAGGTCTGCTTTCGGAGTTGGCGTACTTGTTCAGGCTCAGGTGTGGGATTCTCATCAACACTGGGTGCAGTCTACCTGATAGCTCTCAGTGACATCGTAAAGAGCTTTAGCGCTGCTTTCAGAGCTGTTGTTTGCCATTGGCTTTCGTTCCCAGATTGACACTGCCTCTTCTAAACTGCTCTGTGCAAGAATTTGCGCACAGCTGATTCCCGTCCCGCGTGTAACTTCCTGTTGCCCTGTGGGGTACTACTTTCAGAGATTATAGCAACCCTGCTTTTCTCTGGAATATTATGAGACTACTTCTGTGGCAGCGTTTTATATTAATTATACATACACTCAGGTAAAGAGAAATAGGGGATTGTGATAATTATCCGGGTGATTCCTTTCTTTCTTTCTATCCCAAACCAAAGGCATAAAGTGTGATGGTGCGAGTTCTAATCCACCATGAGATGTGTTCTTTTCACAGCTGTTATGAGGAACAAAACAAAAATTTTAAAAAATATTCAAAAAAGTCATAAAAGACATCGCTAATGAAAATGTGACAGTTTTGTAATCGGACGTACCAAAAGAACTTAACAGAAAGCAATAGGAGAGAAAATAAGAGGGATCATTTTATTTGATAGTTACTAAACACTGTAAATTACCAAGTGCTTTGCTAAATTCCTGCGCGTGTAGCCCTTATTTTGAAAATTTCAGAGGACATGTCCAAATAGGAAGTGATGTTCTTCCCAATGAATCATGGGAGGCACGAAGCTGGGTAAACACAGGCTTCCTTGTGCTTACTTACTAATCTGTGAAATGCCTCACTACAGATGTGAAATTGTCACTATAGATTATGAAATAAGCACTAGATAACCTGTGCTTGCTCTGTATCTTGGATCACCGGCCCTGACGGGAGAGGTGTCTTCACGAGGATGGCTCTGTGTGGGGCGTGGGGGCGGGGAGGGGGGGCCTCCCACCCCCTTCTAAGGGTGCCACTGATTTGCTGTGTGGACCATACTGTGAGACACAAATGGATGTCAGAGGTCTTTGGTTTACCCACTCCTATTCAGCAGCTTGAATCCCAAACTCTCAGAGACAGCGTTTCTATTTTTAAATTACCCCAGAAAAGGTGTTTTTACACCATTATAATTTATTCATCCAAGTTTCTCTTGGAAAGGAAGACTAATCCACAGGTAAATAATACAATCTGGGAGCTTGCTAATAAACTTCATGAATTCAGCTTTTTTCTGACTTGAAATGTGGCACCATTAAATCACCAGCTAAAGTTTAATTTGCTCTCTTCAGGAAGTTTGTGAAGCATAAAATAAAGGAGGCTTTGAAAGAATGCGCAAACGACTTAAAAGTATTTAAAACAGATTTCTTTATGGGACTATTTTATCAATGTTGAGTTCTTAAAGTATCTTAATTATAAATAATTATGAAAAAAGTTTATTTGTACTGTCTAATTTTATGACATTTTCCCTTAGAAGTTCATATTAGAAGTAATAGATATTTTGCTTTAAACTTTCTACAATTTGTAGTGTTCATGAATTCAGTCCTTCCTTTACTATAAATAGCCCAAATTTGTAGAGTTTTCCCTGTATTTCAGGAATTAGTGAATATTGGAATTACAAAAGCTAAAATACTCTGGAGAAATTGTCAACTTCCAGCTTAACATTACTAGTTTGAGTCAGGCGGTATATATGGAATACAGATTCTTCTAGATAATACCTTTTAGAAAAGACACCCACAGATAGAAGTGTTTGGGGGGTGGGGATGCTATTTTTTTAAATCATTTTATTGGGAGCTTGTACAACTCTTGTCACAATCCATACACCCATCCATTATGTCAAGCACATTTGTGCATTTGTTGCCATCATCATTCTCCAAACATTTTCTTTCTACTTGAGCCCTTGGTATCAGATCCTCATTTATTTCCCTCTCCCTCTCCTACCCTCCCTCCCTCCCTCACGAACCCTTGATAATTCATAAATTATTTTTATTTTTTCATGACTTACACTGACCAGTGTTTCCCTTCACCCACTTTTCTGTTGTCTGTCTCCCAGGGAGGGGGGTTCTATGTAGATCATTGTGATCCATTCCCCCTTTCTCCCCAACCTTCCCCTTCCCCTCCTGCATGGCTACTCTCGTTGGTCCTGAGGGGGGGATGCTATTTTTAACCATCAGCTAATTTCCATGTTACCCCTTTCATTGTATTGTGGAGCCTGCTAAAGCAATCACAATGGTCTTTTCTTACAATCTTTCCATTTTAAATTGATGTTGATCAGTAAGAGGTGTGATCAAAATAGAAGACCAAGATAGGAAAGTACAATTGATAATCAAATGAAAGTAATACATGACAATGGTTTAGTAGTTAAAAGATATTTACTTTAGGAAAACAATGATTGCTCAGAGAAAGTAATTAGATGACTGATAGCTGGTTTCAAACATGTTCAGTGCCAGTATTTTGTGGCACTGAGACTATTTATCAAAAAACTGATCACAAGTGACCTACCAAAACCCCCTCCCAGGGGGACGGACAACAGACAGGGGTAAAGGGAGACATTGGACAGTGCAAGACATGAAAAAAATTTTATAAATTATCAAGGATTCATGAGGGATGGAGGAAGGGAGAGGGAGGGGAAAATGAGGAGCTGATACCAAGGGCTCAAGTAGAAAGAAAATGCTTTGAAAATGATGATGGCAACATATGTACAAATGTGCTTGACACAATGGATGTATGTATGGATTGTGGTAAGAGCTGTACAAGCCCCCAATAAAATTATTTTAAAACAAAAAATAATAAATAAATAACGAGTGGAAATTTGATTCCATGCATGCAAGAACACACGTAAAAAAATGTTCTCCGTTTTATCTATAAGAACCCAAATTAGAAACAATCCACATACCTTTAATTATGAAAAACAGATTTTTTTAAATGGTGGTATATTCCTTGAGTGTAATACTGCACAGTGATGAAAGAACAAACTACAAATATCTACACAGCAACAAGGATGAATCTCAGAAATTTTCAATTTACTGGAGGAAGGTAGGGATGGCAAGTGCTTTGTGTGTAATTGTGCTTGCACGCAGTTCAACAACAGGCGAAACTAATAGTTGATGATAGAAGTCAGGATGAAGGTTATATTGGACGAGCGATGTGCATAGAGGGGCATGAGGGGTCCGTATGTAGTGGGAAATACTTCGCGTCTTGATCTGGGTGGTGGTTTCATAGCTGTGTAGCCGTGTCAAACATCACCGAGCTCTACTCTGGCGATGAAGCCAGTTGATGTACTTTACATATCTTAACTCTCCATAAAAAACAATTTGATTACTATTGTCAAGCAATGTATCATATTTAAAAGATAAACCAACCTAATAAGTAGACCCACATCATAAGACCATCGTCTTAAGGTGGAGATGTATAAAGTAGATATGCTAATTTATTTTTATAAGATTTGTATCACATTTGACTAAATGCATATATTGACTCTATTGAATTTGAGGGCTCTTGTAACAGATTTGATATTTTATGTCTGTTTTGCCCTTTCCCACTAAAATCCAAGAAATAATTGTACTAAAAGCTCAGCTCAGACAGAAATGCATCTTGTTTTAAGGAACAATGCCCTCACGTTACAATAATGTTTTTTTTTCCCCAGGGGGCTTGGGAACATTCCATGGCCTCCTAAATTCAGCTGTGCACGTGATCATGTATTCCTACTATGGACTGTGTGCAATGGGACCAGCCTACCAGAAGTATTTGTGGTGGAAGAAATATTTGACATCACTGCAACTTGTGAGTAATTCATTTTCTCTGAAACCAGATTAGACGTTAAACTGGTGTCACTTGGTTTTAGTATGAAGTAGGACTCTAACTAAAGGAAAACAGAGTTTACAAATCAGTAACAAGGAATATAACGTGTCCGGTAACTTGTCATCAGTATCCCTTCTGCATCATTTGACCTTTGTCAGGAACTTTTCTGAAAACAACAAAATAGAGATTCAGACAATGAAACTAATACGAGTATCATTGAACCATCTCTATCCTACTTCACACTTGTTCCTATCAAGTGAATGTATTTATAATTACAATAATCTTGAAATTATGTGACCCTCAGTGGCAGAATACTTTTCATTAGAACTTAGAATTTCATATTTAGATTTAAATAGCCACCAGGAAATGTAACCCTAAGTGGAGTCTAAGGGGTCTTCAAAATGCTCATGGAACAATGGAATTTAAAAAATATTTTTTCCTATGCACTTTTTGAGGCCCCTTGCCATATGCCTGTCTAGTCCTAACAATTATAAGCCTGTCTTTTCTCCAGCTAGTAAAAGGCATTGTGAAGATAAAAGATATAGTTTACACAAATTTGAGTACTGTCCTTGGGTAGCAAGAGAAAGATGAGAATTTCTGTTCTTGTAAAGATTTACAGCCACGGAAATCCAGAGGGGGCAGTTCTACTATTTCCTGTAGGGTTGTTATGACAAAGAATCAACTCAACAAAGAGTTTTGAGTCTGCAATTAATAATGTTCACAGATGAATCAATCAGTTTAGACCTGCATATAGCCCTAAACATAAATGACTATTTTCCCCCCCTTGAAGAGTAAGCATGGGGCTATGATGGAAAATGAAGAACACAACTATCCTTATATTTCCAGATGCATAGTCCATAAAATACAGTGTTCTATTCTGCCAGTAACACTAACGAGGATGAGCATAGCTGGCCTACTAAAGTTGAACTTGACCCAGCGATTGTGACAGTGTGAACAAGCACAGGAACAGTTGTGACGATGGGGCAGGACCGGGTGGTGTTTCATTCAATTGTGCATGCGGTTGCTATGAGTCAAAATGGACTCACTGGCACCAAACAACAATACTCTGTTGCTGGACTGCGCCATTTCTAAATGCCCGTCTGAACTTTGACAGGATACTTACCCCCTAGCACGCCCAGGGAGGCAAACGTTGAAGACAACATGGCATGCACAGCAGTAGCCTCGATGTGGTTGGACACTGTTAACATATAAATGAGCCATGAGTGCATTGAATACGGGTTCCATTCTTAACTGGGTCATTTTTTTTTTGTTCTTTTTCATCTTTTAGGTCCAGTTCATTATTGTCACCATCCATATAGGTCAGTACTTCTTCATGGAAGATTGCAAGTACCAGTTTCCCGTCTTTGTGTACATCATCATGAGCTATGGGTGCATCTTTTTGGTGCTGTTTCTCCATTTCTGGTACCGTGCCTACACCAAAGGTCAAAGGCTGCCCAAAACTGTGAAAAACGGAATCCACAAAAACAAAGGTCACTGAGACACAAGCACACCAGTGAATCTCTGCTTGAGACTGCGTTCTTGTCTTCCTTGACAATCAACAAATCTACATAGTGGGTGGTTTAAGACCATTTTTGATTTGAGGGTGCCTGCAATGAACTACTAATATGAATATTTAAGTATTTAATCAATATAAGAATCTTTAAACTATGACAATATGAGGAGGTGATATTATAACAGACAACATTCTTTTTCTTCTTGAAACTAGAGTATTTTTTTATTAACAAATTTACCTCTTTGCAGACATACACAAAGTTAATTGCAAAATAGTTGTAGCAAAGGGTTCATTATCCCATGAGAACAAATCTCCTTGTTTGCAAACTGATAACCTTAGTGACAAGTACATTGTGGGCTCAATGTAAGGCTTATTGTTTTGAAGGTATGCCATGAAAGACCTAGGAGGCATTCTTATCAGCACAACTGATGGAAACTATTCAAGATATCCACTTAACATTCTCATGAGTGATTGAACATGACAAACCAGTCGATTTTTTTTTTTAAACCTTCCCTGTGGTCGCTCTATAAAATGGAAATCTAACCCTGGAGTCAGTGCAGGAGCTTCTGTATCCTGTCCACGAGCTGCGAAGACCAGAGGCCACAGTTAGAGGTTTCTGGGCGGGGAAGAAGGAGTCTACTGCACTACATTGCGTCTCTTCTCTGTGCTCCAACTATCGCCTGCGCTGGATTTCTTGGAAACAGCTGTCCTGTTTACATTCTCCTCTCACGGGAACAACGTGTTCTAAATACAATCTGTAGATTATGGTGAAAAGCAGCTGAAAAACTGCTGGCTGCTGTGTACTTGATCAGAAAACTGTTATTGGGGAGCTTTGATTTCTCAAAAATCAGAATCCTCCATAAGAGATCATCAAAACGCAGGCTCTTGGTTCTGAAAAATATGCAAAATACACTGCACATGTAAATATTTGTATCATTCAAATGGATCCTTTCACAAATTCTGTTTCTAGTCAATTGGCCTAAAAATGTATTTAGTGCCCCACTTTTTACTTTCTCATTTGTTGAGTAGTGCCAAGGGTCTTCAAAGCTTGGAAGTGGCGTCCAAGATACAGCGATTGCTCTCAATTCACCTGGAGCACCAGCGGAAGACAGACAGCGGGCACAGGAAAGAAAGTGGATGTGTGGCTGATTGCTCCCAGGAACAACCGCTGCTTGTGTCATGGAACCTGAAGACTGATGGTGCCTTGCTGCCATTTAATTGAAGCATCTATAGAAGAATCGTGGTCAAAGAGTAAAATCAGAACGGAATTGAAATTCACATAGAATCCATCATTTTCTATATCAGTGGAAACGGGATGAACCCCTAACATTATTACCCTGAGATAATCTTGAAAACTTAGACCAAAAATAGTCCCTGGATGCTTCTTAAAACCAAGCAGTAGTTTAGCTTCACTAGATAGAATATCTGCCTTGAGCGTTGTGCCCTATTAAGGGCTATCTGTGTGGAATCAAATTGGTAACTCAGAAGATTAGATAGGAAACATGGATAGCAGTGAGTTTATATCAATGGGGAAGTAACAACTGAGAAGAGCCAGACTAGTTGCACAACTCGAAGAATGTAGTCAAGGTCCGTGGATCATCCATGTACGTGCACATACTTGAGCTGGTACATATTTTACTGTGCATATTGTGAACCACAACAGAATAACAGATGAAATTTGTTTCACTTCCTTTGTTGTTGAAGAACCAAACTAGTGTATTTATTATTCGGATTTTATTATAAATAAAGGATGGTTTCCTGGGTTGGGTTTTTTTTTTATGTGTTGTCCCAGAAGCACTGGTGTTTGGACATTTCTGAATTTTTCCATCTTGTGTTTTTTCCTTGTTATATTTATATTAAATTCTGAATGACTGTTTCTGCTTGTCTGAGTTTAAACAATTAGTACTGTGGGCTCCAGCTGGAACATAACACAATGTAACACACAGTGATACTGCGTTGTCACTGGAAATGCCTGCCTTTCTCATCTTCCTCCAGAGTCAGTAGTCTATACCATGGCCTTCTCTCTTCAGACTTAACCAGATTCGTAAGATTATCTGCCTTTAAGTGGCCTTCAGTGATTTCACTTGCTGACTAAGGAGAATCTCCTGTAGTGGAATCTGCTCCAGGGCAACGACTTTGGGTTTGGGATTTTCCCTATAGGAAAAGATGAATGCTGACAAATGGAAAAACCAAACGCACTGCCACTGAATGAATTTTGACTCACAGTGACCCTTTCTAAGGCTTGTCTTTTAAAAAAAATTTTTTTAAGAAGAGTGAAAAGTAGAAGCTCTAATATATTTCATTGTATGGGTCTCCGGACTTCTTGCATGTTCTGCTGTTTTAGCTCTTCATCCCCCAGCTTTGATGGAAGGAGAAGGTGAGCTATATATACATTCAGAGAGTTTCCAGATTCAAGTAGGGAAAAGACCCAAAGGCAGCAGAAATAACTAGGGGATAAAGTAAAGTTTGATTTATTTTCTTACATAATTTTTTGATCTGCAGTATCCAAACTCTCTTAACTTCAATAGTCTTTAAAATGTTTGATGTTCTTATGAGCAAACAACAGCAGGTGATGAAAGGACATTCTAAATTATATCCTCAGAGTGGAGAGCTAGAATATTCCCGAGAAAGACCTGATTGAAGCTGATTGAAGTATCCTCCCTTATTCGAGCAAAGTGAATGTCCCCAGGAATAGGATTTGTGTGGGCCCTGCTTTTCTAAAGAGTCCTTAGGTGGTCACACACAGCTCATTTCTCAAGACGTTATAGCCTTTGTATTTGCTTACCAACAAACCAAAAGTCCAGTGGCACATTCTGTGAATCCTTGAGGGCCTGCGTCTACCTTGTAAATACATCCAAATGCAACATTTTAGGTACCTGTGGGGCATTGCCATTTTACAGTCTTAATCCTAATCAAGCAGCAGTCTTAATTCAGTAGAATACATTATTGCATAAGTTATAAAACCGAGGTTACATTTCCTTAATTTGCCCCTACTTTCTGTTAACTTTTTAAAGACTGGAAAACTGTGGGTATTGCCAAAATTTGGGTTTGTTTTTCTCTGTGTATGATAATAAATTGGTGGTATTACATGTTTATGTGTGCTTGTCTCATTTTAGAAACTAGTTGCGTGTGTTTGCATGGGCAGCTGGTTTTTGATCGGATGACCCAGTCAGTGAAAACATCTTACACATTTTCATAGCTGTGCTAGACGTTACTGTAGGACAAAGCTGTCTGTGCCATAGGTGGGGCCTCCTGGAGCTTCCAGACCAGCAGGGAGAGAATCTGTGCCAATGTAGTCTGTGGTGCAGGAGACTATATGATACATGCTACAGAAGTTAAAGTCCTGCTACAAGTCCCAACAAGCAGGTAAGGTCCTATGAGGAAGTTTGAACTTGTGTATGAAGACAGAATTCCAAAATAAGCAGTGGGTTAGTGGGTAAAACATTCTAAGAAGAAATAAGGCCGCAGAGAAGAGTGTTAAGCAAATCTGAAAGAGGACTGATCGACAGGTATAGAGCATGGCGTCCTGTGGGTGGCCCCCAGAGGTGCGCATGGCTGTTCACTGCAGCCCTGGTTGTAGTGACCAAAGACTATTCACCGTCATGTCCTCCACGAAGAGGCTGTTGGATAGACCGGTACCGCTGTACAACGGCGAATGCTGTCGGAGAAGAAAAGGAATGGAGAAGCTCCAGGTGCTGCCATAAGGTGATTGCCGGGAAAACCTTGACAAACCTTAGGTGCAGAAGAGAACCTATAACATGCTGCCTTTAAATACGAAATGAACAGTGGGAGGGCAAGAGAAAGCAACGTGCCTTCACATGTAATCAGGCATTTAATTGCCTTTTGAAGAAGGAATACTAGAAAGAGGAACACAATCAAACATTTTTTTTCTGAGTGGAAGAAGAAAAGAGAGGAATGAGTTCATGGATGGATGTCAGGTTGCTTACAATACACCCAGTTTTACAGGGGTTAGCTTGGAACCAGGTAACTATTTTTCACTGACAAATAAGGAAAAGGTCATCTTTTAAAAAATGTCTTATCAAGTCAAGTCGTTCGCATAACTGCACAGAAAAGCCTGTATCAAAGGACTTTAAAACCACCGTTTGGGCCATGCACCCCAAGTGAGACATACGCAAAGGACAAAAGAACCACAAGGACATCAACTGCAGCCATGTGGGAGGCAGTACCTATGTACTACTATTAAAAAGATCGAAACTGCTGTGTTTATAAAACTCAAAAACAAAACAAAACAACAACAAAAAAACCCAAACCTCACTGCTGTCGTGACCCTATATAAGGTGTGAGAGACTGTACATCTTTAGGGGAGCAGATAGTCTCATATCGCTCCCTTGGAGTAACTGATGGGTTTGAACTGCCAACCTTGCACTTAGCAATCCAATGCTGACCCAGCTATCTAGCACCTCCAGGGCTCCATGTCCTATCTGTAGTGTGGTAAAACAAATAAGCAATGAGTTTAATGTAATTCAAACAGGTTTTCAGAGATTCAAATATAAAATGAATGAAAAATAAACCCCAAATCAAATTCGCTGTCATCCAATGCTGACTCATAGTGACCCCCTGTAGCTCTCTGAGACTGTTGATGGGAGTAGAAAGTCCATTCTTTCCTCCAAGGTGGTCTTGAACTGCTGACCATGTGGATTGCAGCCTAATGCATAACCACTATATCACCAGGGCTCTTGAATGAAGCATAAGTAACCTTATATATGAAAGCAAGGAACATATCAAGACTATTGGGGTCCATGGGAACCAACATGAAGAAGCTCACACTAGGCAAAGAGAACCATTTGACTGTCAAAAAGAACAATGGCCGCAGCATACTGAAATACATAAAAATCTGTGATTTGTAACGTGATGTCCCAAAACAAGCAAACTAATGGTTTGCTTCAGAGATTGCTGGAGCACCAATTCATTATTTTGAAAACTGGCAAAGGGGAATATGAACTGCTATTTGACCTTTTCTGATTGTGGAATGTATTCCTCATAGGGCGATTAGATGTCTATAAGGGAAAGAGCTAATAATTGTAGGAGAAACTACAGAATAAAAAATTATTTAACCATGCAGATCCAGTGAGTCTATATTCTCTGTACAGGGGCTGCCTGGTTAGTGGCTCCCCTCCCCCAAAATCTGCACATAGCTTCATCTTCAGAATTCCTGGATTTAAACCAGAATCATGTGATTTCAGGTAGGGAGTTACGCTTCCAAAAGGGGCCCAGGTAGCACAAATAGCTAAGTGATTGGCTGCTAACTAAAAAGTTGATTCTTTGAACCCACTCAGCAGTTTCAAGGAAGAAAGGCCTGTCCATGTGCTTGCATACAATGATGGAAAACCTGATGGGACAGTTCTTCTGTGTCACCTGGGGTCGCAATGAGTCAGGTTCAACTCAATAGTGCTCAGCAACAACCTTTACAAAGAAAAGAAGCAGTCAGTGTGATATAGTTTAGGCAGTGGCCTGTGTGGCAGGTGTGTTTTCCAAAGAGATTGCATTAGCTCCTGTCCCACATGCTCCTTACAAGGTGTGTTTTATTTTCCTTCTACGGAGGGATGGTGTGTACAGCTGAGGGCATATTATTGACTTCTAAGGCTAATATCTAAAAGGCAATGTAGTTATCATTTTGTTCACGGAAATACTCCTGAAGTTGTGGATGGAGATGTGTGTTGGGGTGTGTACAAAGTCATCCTTTGCATAGCAAGCACAGGGACACCAAATTTGGTGGTGGTGGTGGTTAGATGCCATCCAGTTGGCTCTGACACACGATGACAGCAGCACATTGACAGAGAATCGCCAGATTCAGAAGAAGACGTGGAACCAGGGATATAATTGCTGATGTCAGATGGATCTTGGCTCAAAGCAAAACATACCAGAAAGGTGTTTACCTGTTTTTCATTGACTATCCAAAGGCGTTCAACTGTGTGGTCCATAATAAACGGTGGATAACCTTGAGAAGAATGGGAATTCCAGAACATTTCATTGTGCTCATTTGGAACTTGTACATGGATCTAGAGAAAATTGTGTGAAGAGAACAAGGGAATACAGCATGGTTTAAAATCAGGAGAGGTGTGCATCAGGATTGAATCTTCTCACCATACTTGTTCACTCTACACACTGAGCAAGTCATCAGAGAAGCTGGTTTATATGAAAAAGTGAGGCAGTAGGATTCGAGGAAAGCTTATTAACCTGCAGAATGCAGATGACACAGCCTTGTGCTGAAAGTGAGGAGGACTTGAAGCACTTGCTGCTGAAGATCATGGATTACAGCCTTCAGTATGGATTACAACTCGATATAAAGACCGAAAACCTCACAACTGGACCAAGAGATAACGTGGTAAATGGAGGAAAGGTTGAAGTCAAGGATTTTGTCTTTCTTGGGTCCACAATCAATGCTCCTGGAAGCAGCAGTCAAGAGATCAAAAGATGTTTTGCATTAGGTTAATCTGCTGCACAAGACCTCTTTAGAATATTGAAGAGCAAGGATGTTTCCTTGAGGACTAAGATGCACCTGACCAAAGCCATGGTACTCTCCATTGCATCTTATGCATATGAAAGTTGTTCATTGAATAAGGAAGACTGTAGAAGAATCAATGCATTTTGATTGTGGTGTTGGAGAAGAACATTGAAAGTACTGCAAGAAGACACACTGATCTGTATTGGAAGGAGTACGGCCAAAGTGCTCCTTAAAGGCAAGGAAAGCAAGACTTCGTCTTACGTACTTTGAACATATTGTCAGGTGAGACCAATCCCTGGCGAAGGA